CTTTTTCTACGACTTTGTTTGAGCTGCCATTAATTTTCTTACGTCTCAGTAAGACTTCACCTACAGAACTTATAATTCTTGTCAAGTTCCTGTAACCGTATATGTATATCAGGCGAAGACAATGCAAAATTTCTCTGCAGATGTTTCAGACCATATAAAATTTGGCTGCAGTGAAAATTTTGCTACATAATCACCCCTGTCAACTGTACTTGTGGCAGAAAGTAACCATTATAACAGACAATGACAATCAGAAATAATTGGCATAAAATCTTCAATATAAAAAATATAGTATACAATCCAAGAGTAGTTCTGACACCATGCCATAGTATACAATACTTGATCCATAAGGTGTATAACCAGTACTTTTACCGAAACAATCACCAAATGTTCTACCATTAAGTCATCTAATTTGATGAGTAATAGAAACGTCTAATAAAGTTCTATCTCTAGCATCAGTTGTGCTATCCTGACTCGAGCGAGGAATTGCACCTTTATCAGCAGAGTAATTTCCATCCAAAGGAAGCAATAAGTCATTAGTAAAGTCAGTGCCATTAGAAACTCTGACATTGAAGTTACCACACATTAGTATATCACCTTTTTTATTTAATTGAGACAGATCATTTTCAAGATATTCGATAATGTCACGTTCTAGATTCTGAGTATAGGATGATGTTTCCGGAGGGTTGTATACAGCAGATGTATAAAGATCTCTTTGAAAACCAAAGAACTTTTCTAATTTGACCAACTGATAATCCGTATTGCTATTAGATAAACTTTTAACCTTGGGTTTTATCGGAACTTTGCACAGTACAGCTAAACCACCGAAGTGTCTATTATTATTTGATTTAGGCCTACGGGTAGCATGACAATGAAAGGCTCCAATATTTGGGATGGCAAAATCATAACAAATATGGGTTTCAGCTAAAAACATTAAATCGAGAAATAAAAGGTCTTCGAATTTGTTTATATCGTTTTGAACAAGACCACCAACATTAAGGAAACCCATCTTCTTGGTTGAATTACTGTTGGTACAGTACATTGCAGTGGGGGAAATGCATTACTACACTAAAAGATAAAAAAAAAGATAACGAAAAGAGAAACAAATGTTTCTTACACACTGAACTCAAATTAAATCTCAACAGGTATGCAAGTTAAACTAGAGTTGTCTACCTTTACACAGTGTGCTACAAGAATTAAGTAACATAATGCAACAACGGAGACTGAATGATAAACTGGTGTAACACCACATTAACAAAATAGCAGCAGTTCAATTTCCATACAGAATGATAACAATTGTGTGAAATATTTTGTCTTAAAAAAAGAAATTGGGTGTAACTCCTTAACCACACAAGAATGATGTACTCAATTTTACACAAAAACTGAGAATATATAGAACACCTGAAACAACAGATCTTACCTCCAGTAGAAGGTACGCATTACTACTAGTAATCGGTTGTATGTGGTTCGATCGCGTCCATATTCTCTCGACTGATTCCGATCAAAACGCCCCCGACCTCGCGATCTGCTCCTATGTTTGGGTTAGTTCCCAGTTTAGAGCAGAGTGGATGGCGTTGCGGATGTTAATAGTTAGGTAGGCAACTCCTCGATCACTTAGATGTATATTGTATATTCTTCTGTTTCAGCGTGGCATTTATAATTTGCCCATTGGTGAAATTCATAAGATTGTCATTCCTTGAAGTTGAAAGTGACAACAAAATTTTGGCATTTTGCCAATTCTTGGTGATTTCTGAGATAACTTCATCAATCTTGGTAACACACGCTGTAGGCTCATTGTTATTGAGACCATTGGTCATAATTTGCAACACAACAGCATCTGAATCTTTTATAGATCACATGTTATTACTTCATTTCTCGCCTCGTTGATGGTATATGTCATTTTTTAATGATATATGCAACAGGAGTAAGCATGGCTTCTCAGAGTAGGCAAGACATCTTAGGCTCTTGATAGGCATTTCGAAGATGTATCCATCAGATCTTTTCCTGGTAGACCTGATTTGAAATGCAGGCACTTTTGTAGTTACAGGGATAATCCTGAGCTTTATCAAGTTTTGTAGACAGGTCCTCAACTTTCTGTTCTAGCGACTCAATTTCATCAGTTTTTTACTCCAATCTGTTCATCAAAAAGTCATCTTCGAACTTTGTTGCCGTCACAATATTTTTAAGTTCATTGCGGGTTTCTCCTAAAAGATATTTATGGTTTTTGACAGAGTCATTTCCCCCGCTGAATTTGTGTTTTGAGTGATGCATTTTCATTCTGTAACGACTTGACTTTTTTTCTCCAGTTCCTAAATCTTGGAGGATTGACCTGGTTTTGTTTTATTTCATGAAACGTTTTGAGGAGATCAGTAATAAGTATGGTATTGCTATTTTGGTAAGCTTCTAATTTATCTAAAGCTTGCACCAAGGTATCCTTCAGACGTTCTACCTACGTCAATGGATTTCAGTCTGATAATACTTAGTAGACATACTCGTGTGTTCATGTGCTGTTTTGAGGTCGGTCTCTGAATCATTAAGATCATTACAAAAAGTCGGACGCCTCTCTGTTGTATCTGTATTTGACTCCTCAAGTAGATTGCACTCTTTTTATCATATCAACCACTTTAAGAGGAACCTCGAAAAGGTGAATTGCAAAAATTTCATAATGTGCCCTAGGCACAAAAAGTGCCAGTAGAAACGAAAAATGTTACATTGTACACGAGAGAGCCCTGGTTATCTAACAGTCCTATGCGAACGGAATTGTCAGTATCTGAATTGCACCATTTCTGAGGATTGTCTACCTTTTTCATTCCCATGCCTTCCATTTGCCAATATTATCATAATACGTTATACTCAAGGTGTTCAACCACAGAAGAACTCCCTCCTCATTAGTGTAGATCACATCACCGTTCGAGCATTTTCTTCATATAAATTGCGGTCAACGTCTTCAAATAGATAACGTTTTGATTTACCCGTTCTGGGTTCGAACTGTCTTGGCAAACACGATTTTGGATGTTTATTAATTACGGCCTCCATAGACAGGCCTACTTTAAAGTTTACTAGTTTTTTGAATTTACAAAATTTAATTTATAAATTTTAAAATTAAATTTGATTTTTAATTTACAAATCTTTGAATATATCAGATCGGACCCACGTCAACAAAACGCTGCCATTTTGGAATTGGAATGTGAAAGATGCGGGGTGAAATCTAGAACGTATCAGGTATGTGACGATTAACGTTACGTTACACACAAGTCACATGTGTACTACAAATAGTTAAATAAGGATATTTCACACATTGAAATGCTACATTAGGTATAAGAAACACCAGTGAAATCTTCCAGGAGTTCTGCGACAGCGGTTATAATCTCATACTCGTTATCAATGACGTATATATATATATATATCTCGAGAATCACAACACTTGCCAAGAAACCTCGGAGGGATTTTCAAGGAAATGATTGATTTCGCTGCTAAATTTTTGCATCTGATCAGTTAAATAAGAATTTAAAAAACTAATGAAATATTTTTTTCTCCTTACATATAAGGGAGTAAATAAAGCTTCAATCCATATTTTGTTTCATATCGTTCACTCCTTCTGAAATTAAACATGATTCATAACGAGTAATGTCCACTCAAACACTGTTGTTTTTTAAAACAAATCAGATATATCATCAATTTTCTTCTTCTCACACAGGGAGCTTGATTCAACACGAGTCATGTACCATCGTGTCTGTCACTTTAGTTATTTTTAATGCTTCTATTGAGAACCTAGTGTTTAGCGCTGAATATATTGTGTAATTTTAACTGAAATTTGTGCTCATTCTAAGCTGTATGGTATTGATCAATCCCTCTCACATAGATTAATGCATTGACTGCATAGCTTATCGAACAATATGAAGCTATAAGTATTTAGAGTTACCTCCCGTTCACAATGATGATCAGGTGATTAGTTGGAAGAACCAAGGCGGAAGTAACCTACAGCATCGACATTTTCGCCAGGTAAATATTTATTGAAACTTTCGAGTGCGTAATGAAAGTATTATTCAACATAAAAAACCTTGTGTAAATAGAAATCATATTTATTTCTCAGTGTCATTAAAGCAAAGTATCATGCAAATAATACTTTTATTAATACTGAAAGTAGCAGTAAGTTAAGGACATTCCAATATGGCTGCCACACCAAACTGTATATCAAATTCAATAATGCATTCTGTTAGCATTAAACAATCCCTGTCACAAAATAATAATCCTCCAATATTTTTCAAACATAATTGAGGTACATGCACACTGAATTTCAGAAAAAAACATTCAATAACTAATGAAAAAACTCACTTTTTTGTGTACATTTTCCAAGCTAAATAAAAGTCACGTTTAAACTTGTAAATATCATACGGTTGGATGTCTATGGAGATGCATTTGTCGAGAAAATTGTAAGAAAATGTGTCAAATCTCCAGAATAATGGCATATATTTCCCCTCAATCAATGCTGACTAAGGTTGGAATTTACCTGTACACCATTCACTACAGGTTTCTCACTCAGGTAATATGGCTTGACTTGTATCAAAAGTCTTGTTAGCTTGATGAATTATTTTAAAATATCCAATCAAAATACATGTCATTCTCGAGATTTGAAGCATTTTCTCACATTTTTCTCGACAAATGCATCTCCATGGACATCCAACCTTATGATATTTACAAGTTTAAATTTTTTTACCCCTGAATCGTGACTTTTATTTAGCTTGGAAAATGAACATATAAAAGGGGAGTTTTTCATCAGTTATTGAATGGTTTTTTTCTGAAATTTAGTGTGCATGCACCACAATTATGTTTGAGAAATATTGGAGGCGGATTATTTTGGGACAGGTGTTGTTTAATGCTAACGGAATGTATTATTGAATTTGATATACAGTTTGGTGTGGCAGCCATATTGGAATGTCCTTAACTTACATAACGTGAGGGTTTCTAAAATGGAACACTTTTCATATTTTCAGAAAGTTAAACCAATATACAGGTAACAATAACAATAACAACAATCCTTTCGTCATGCCCCAGCTATCACGATGTGTACTCGTTGTGTACAGTAAGTATGCGTGTATCATGATGGACAACTTTTCACGAAAATTCCGGTCTTTCTCGACAGCTGTCTAAGATGATCATTCCGAATACGTTTAATATAAAGGTATTAGGTTTAGAATTTGTCTATCTAACCATAATGGTGACACATCGCATCCTTACTGGTGTCCTTAAACTGCTGTTATATTACACCACGACCAGGGGGAAACACCGGGAAACGACACAACCGGAAGTTGTGAGACAGAACATAGACTGTTGCAGAAAATGGCATACAGGATCTTATTAAGAGATATATCGCTGTTTTTGATTATGTATGCAGACGATACTGTCCTTTTTTCTGAGTCCATAGAAGGACTTCAGACTATGCTTGATACCTTGTATGACTATAGTACCACATGGAATATAAAGGTCAATGTGGCCAAAACGAAAATCGTTGTCTTTCGTAATGGCGGTAACCTTTCAAATGATAACAGATGGTATTACAATGGAAAAACCATTGAAATTGTTGAGTCTTTCAATTATCTGGGTGTAACATTGTTTTATAATGGAAAGTTTACCCAAACTCAGAATATTATTAGTCAGCAAGGTCGAAAATGTGTATACCGCATAACGAATATTTGTAATAACAATTTTTTTAACATTGAAACTAAAATATACGTATTTGATATTTATGTTTCAAGTGTATTAAACTACGGCTGTGAAGTATGGGGATTCCATGCTGCCCCTGACGTAGAGAAAGTGCACATAGATTTTTGTAAGCGCTTACTTAATGTTAGAAGGTGTACTCCAAACAATATGTTGTACTCTGAACTTGGTAGATTACCACTTTGTATAATACGGAAAATGAGAATAATTAAGTATTGGTTGAAATTACTTGAAACAGATAACTGTATTTTGAAAGCCTTGTATAATGATATGTTGTCTGAAGTAAATACAAAGGCCAACTGGCTTAGTAATGTGAAATCAATGTTAATGTCTCTAGGTTTTGGATATGTTTGGTATGATCAGAAAGTTGTATGTAAGAATCAATTTATATTGGACGTTAAACTACGTCTACGTGATGTTTTTATACAAAATATGAACACTTTTTTTGAAAACTCTACGAAATGTTTTTTATATAGATGTCTGCCCGAGGTTAATTGTCTTCAGTATTATCTTTGTAAATCTTTTCCTGAATCTTGTATTTTAACCATTGCGAAATTTAGATTATCTTCACACGACCTTCGTATAGAAAGGGGCAGATATGAGAGAATACCTCGTAATGAAAGACTTTGTTTAAAGTGTAATTTAGGCGATATAGAGGACGAATTGCATTTTATTCTTGTTTGTCCATTTTACAACGAAGTAAGAACACAATATATTGACAGATATTACAGAATTAGACCGTCTATGTTTAAATTAATTAATTTACTTTCTGTTAGAAGTAAGAGGAAATTGAATAATCTTTCCAAATTTTTAATTTCTGCTTCACAACTGAGATCAAATGAATAATTACACATATTGTCCATCCTCCATAATATGTCTGTATTGCTGTGTATCACTCACTCAATTTTGTAAAATGTATTGTAATGTTTATGCTGATTAGCCGAAAGGCTAAAGGCCAATAAACTAAACTAAACTAAACAGAGGGATTGTCCTCCCGGCCGATATATCGGAGACGGATTCACTGCAGTTTTTGAATAATTATATAAGATCGCATGAGCGTTTGTATGGTTTCACTCATCCTTCATATTTTTATTAGACTATTGTGTCCTTATTTTGGGTCTCAAATGTTACTTGAACGATATTTTGAATCCTTTTTTATCTTCAACAGAACACCTAATCACTGCACGGACCCAACATGGCAGAAGCAAACCCAGATCCAGAGTACAAGTGTTTGATGTGCATGAAACCCTACAACGAACCAAGAGAGCTGCCCTGTGGTCATACCTTCTGCTACCAGTGTCTGACGTCATACATCGACAAGGAACACGTCACGGCAGACGAAGACCGGCATTACTTCCCCTGTCCTGTCTGTGACACGCCAATATCTCCTCGTGACGTCAGTTTGAACGTAAGAAACTGGGCGACATCATTTCCTATCAATAATTTGTTCCTTTCCTCTACAGCCCAGAGGTCGAATGACCGGGTCTGCGGGGCCTGTCTTAGGGACAATGAAACCAGTGCTGGCGAGGCCTGGTGCGCGGATTGTGCTGAGATACTATGTAAACAGTGCAGAGCTGTTCATGGCCGAATCAAGGTGACGGCAAAACATCGACTTGTTCCAGTTGGAGAAAACGTTGGTGGGTTTTACGACATGATGGTTAATGGGGTCTGTTCAAATCACGACGAAAAACCATTAGAAATCTATTGTCTAGACCACACTGCGATGTGTTGCAGTGTTTGTGTATCCTTGTCACACAGAAGTTGTAATCATGTAAAATCTTTACGTGATGTTATAGAGAAAACGATGACAGACCGAAGTTCACACGAGACAGAATGGGAGGATATCACAGATGAGTCCAAGAAGATGTTAGATGAAGAAGATGCCGGATTCACCTTCCTAGTTTCTAAAGAAAAGGCGGTGTCGGCCGAAATGACGAACAGGATACAGCAAGCGAAAGACAAGCTTGATGACCTCAATACAACATTTCAGTCAGACCTCGCAGAAAAATGTAACGAACACAGGAAACAATTGTCCCCCCGACGGAATCACGTTAACACATTTCACATCAATGCTGAAAATTCTAATATGTTAATGACTCGTCTCGAGAAACAGTGTTCAGACAGAGATCGGTTCATCATGAGGGAAAAGACAAAGAATCAAATATCGGCCCATTACCGTCGGTTGGATCAAAACACCAAGAACCAGCCTAGTAGGTTTGAAATCACCCTCAAATTAGGAACAATTATTGACGAAATCATGAAAGTGACATCCGCAGGGAATGCTGACGTGACTTCGACAGAATCATCGATATCACAAAACGCGAATGTGCGTATACAAACATTACTTGGAGCTTTGCTCTCCACGCCATCAGTTACAACGTTTGCAAATTCGACTTCGGCCTCCGACATCGCTGGTTCCCTGCAACATATGACAGTCCAGTCTGCTCCAGTGACGGAACCGGTGGATGTGTGGACCGGTTCAGTGTCTTGCGTACATTCTTTAAACGCTAGTGCACTAGGAGGGTCAAATAGTTGTTTATTGAATGGGGGCATCTTTACTGACAACGGGGAGCTATTGATGACAGATTGCAACAACAGCAGACTCCTCCTATTTGATGATATGTATTCCTTCCAGAAAGAATATATATTTGATAGTGGAAAACCTCAGTAGATATAGCACGTGGAAGTACTGCTGACGAGATCTTTGTGGCTTTCCAAGATGACGATATTGTGAGGTGTACACTACGGGATGGTCAACTGTCCGTGATCAACACGATCCGCGGTCCACTTCAGACCTGCGGCATTGCAGTTATAGCGGACAGCATCCTGGTCGCTACAGCTGATAGTGTGAAGGACATGTCTATGGATGGTAATGTGACTAGGTTAATACAGACACCAGCGATTAGGAGGGCTTATCCCTGCCTTGCCGTATCTACCTCTAAGGGAACATTGTACCACAATGACAAAAATGGCGTTATGTGTAGACAACTAGACAGTGGCGCAATAGTTTACAGGTACAAAGCTACTAGCATGACTCATAACAGAGGTATTAGTCTTGACGGGGACGACAACTTGTATGTATGTGGCTCTGGTTCCAGTAATGTGCATCTTTTTTCATCTGATGGGTCACGTTGGAGGATATTGCTTGCCAAACTGCTGACTATTAGAGATCCATGCTGTTTAGTAGTCCATCCAACCAAACAGGAGTTCGTTGTTTCGTCATTATTTGGGTCGACGTCACTCGAGGTGTACAGATTCCGTAACGTCAACAATTAGGATTACAATGAGAACTATAGTCAAAGAGATAACGGACCCTGTCCCAGTGCGGGCAAAACACTAGGTATTTCGATTGTAGTGTTTTGTTCATAGAGTTACCTCCCCTTAGTTTCATTTTTGCTTTTAAATAGTTCTTTGTATTACATGAGCATTTCTTGGGTCGCTTTTCCAGGAAGTGTCCCGTTTTAATCCACTGACCGTATGCATGGCGGATTTGCTCCTGAATTAAGTCAAAGAGACTGCAAGGGTCACTAAACTCTGACGCCGGAAAAATGGCGCGGTATAGATTTATCATTTTACTTGAAACCTGGGCAAGGTCGGGGTGGCCATGTGTTTAGAATGAGATCGGAGGAGATATTACATTTGACTAACACCCGAGATAAGATCGCCATTGGTCATGTCGCATTTCTTTAATGAAGTTTTCGATAATTACGTTAGACGTCTGTATGATTTGTGGGATTTTTTATAATAAATAATTTGGGTACAACGATTTAGAGTCAAAAGATTTCTCAATGCTCACTCTTTTTTATTTACATTTTTCATATACCTTTACCATAACGTTTTTTTTCTTTTCAGTGTGATTGCGTATTTTGTCGTGGATGATTATTTAGTATCTTGCCATTTTCATTTAATTTTATCAATATTCTTTTCTATGTCCATTTTTTTGTGCAGTGTCGGAAAAAATTGATAAGGAGTTTTTTCTCTCTCTGGTGTACCCCGTGTTAGTTGATAAACGTCAATTATCAGTTTTCTATAGAAGGATAAAAAGAATAAAGATTATAGATTATCACACTGTATTTACATTTCCACTGCAAGGTTACCTGGAAAAATTGCGTCCATAAAACTATGAACACAATTCGATCAGTGTCATTTTGAATCTTAGCATACATGTTTTTCTATTTCCCATATTTGGTGTCATTTTATCATCCACAACATTTTTCAATGTTATTTCCTACATGATTCTATCTTCAATTTTGGAAAAAATATGCCTAATTACAGCACACACACTCAAACATTCGTATGCATTAATCTTTCTGTTTTTAAGCCGACAAATAATATCAATCAGAGCACAATTCTTCATATTCACTCGCTTTATCTCTATCTGAACACATCGCTTAAGGTGATATGATAGTAACAATGTATTTTTTGTTAGTTATTATGCTTGAAGATATAACTAGGGGAATATATGTGGTCAGGCCAATCCCTACCTACATATATTCCCTAGATATATACACTGTATATTACTTTCATAGAAAATCTACTCATTATTTTTTTCCTTTTATATCGATTTATTATATAAGCCAGATTTTGTCCTCGTATCAAATTTATTTCACCGTCTTTTTTTTATTATGTTCCTTCCTCACCAACTTTCTCTGTCCGTCTCTTTGTATGTGTGTGTCTCTCTCTCTCTTTCTCTTCTTTCTCTCTCCTCATATTTATTTATTGTATCGAGATTCTATAATCATCTTTTAGAGTTCAACCTAAATGATTGGTATAAGTTACACCTCATTCAAATTTTATTTATTCGTTTTGTAAGTTTCGATATGTTTTGCCTTAAATCAATTAGTTGTATTTCATTCAATACAGACGCAATGATTATTGTTTTCTTTCATTTCGGCCTGATACCTTAAATATAGCGAAATCAACCAAACTCAGCAAAATATGTATTTCTTCATTCCGTATTTCTTATATCCGACATTTTACATTTTATGAAATAGTAGTTACAATCTGCCTCCATCTTGTATACATTACACAATTTGTCATCTTCCCATTTCCATCTTTTTATATGATCTTTACAAGGTATTTTAAGTTATATTATTACATTTGGTTACATTTAGATATTTTTTTGTGACCAAAATTAACATGGACTCAAACGTTTTACTTTTTCTTGGTTTTACATTGCCCCACATGCACGCTGTACCGCTATTAGTCCGAAAAAGCTAACTATCTCCTTTTAAATGTTTTGACGGGGCAGAGATAGTTAGAACGTTCTTCTTAGGGTCTCTTTTGAAACAATTCGCATCGGGTTTATTGCGTATTGTAATTAATGGTTTTCTTGTATACTGCAACATGTCCACATAATTTGCATTCACGGATGGAATGAATATTAATTTAACCCTGTAATTAGTTTTTTACTCAGGTGCTCGGGTTCTGGAATATATTTGATATATTATCGCACCCCCTTATACTAATAAATCATATGATTCATTAGTATAAGGAGGTGATATATATAGTGGGGTGCGATAATATATCACATATATTCCAGAACCCGGGCACCTGTGTTTTTTTTACTGATACACGCCGTAACCCCAGTGGTAACAGGCATTACAAAGCGTGTAATATTCTCACAAATTCAATCGTCTTACTTTTACACAATGTTTTTCTCACTGCGATCAGCTGTAATGTCCTCAATAATTAGGTATGTATTGTAGAATTTTGATAAATTATAATAACAATTCAGGTAGCAATATACAGTAGCATACAGTGGTCATGGGTGATGTTGTTGTACAATAATAACCCCTGTTATATTAATTGTATCAAAATCTAAAAAAAAAATCAGGACTAAAATTAGCATAAACATGATAAAGTCGACTATGTGAGCTTCATACATTTTCAAGAAAAATATGTTGCATTTGGTTTGAGAGTACAGTTTCAGCCATTTACAAATTTTTATCTACACAACAAAATCTAGCTTTTCATGTAGTCTAATTTTGAAGTCGGCACATATGCAAATATTTTGAAAAACCCACAGGATTGTCCTATGCTTAAGCGTGAATATTTCTGCATGTTGGATTTTTGATGTGGTAGCCATATTACTTCTAAACCATACTATTTTCAGAGATGAACATGAATGTCACTAGGTGCGCAATAAAGGTACCTTTTCAATTTCAACAGTGGTCATGTTTCTGTCTTTTAATTCATAAATTTTGAATATCTTTTGACACTCATAATTATAAAATGGTTGATATAAATATAGGTGTGTTGTGCAGGATGAATCCATTATGCATGTGTACCTCAAAAACACCCTTTATTTTAAGTAGCAGACAATTTCTACCAAATCCTGTAATTAACTATGCAAATGCATTATCTTTTTATTTTCAGAATATTTATATTGGATAATTTAGTATTCCATGCCTTACTTGAAGATATGAGGAAGGGTGGGTACTAAGAAGACCCATAAGCTGATTCTAAATTGAAAGGCTGTCTGTCCCCTTGTTAATGAAACTTGCTGATAAGTTTTGACTTATCCAAGTTCTAGGCTATAGTGTCTTAGATAACATCATTAAGATCTCGTTTCAGGTTTAGAATTTTAACAGCTTCATTGACGTGATTTGAAATTAATAGATTGACATTTGGTCAGCATTTTTGGAGAAAAAGCCAATATTGTCTACAAATTCATTTTTTTCGGGATAGTTGGTGTTTTGCTTACAACAATAAGACACAAAAAAATCTGCAGTATAGTATACCTTTGAAGACAATATATTTAACAAAAAGAATGTTGAGGACCACCCGCATGAGTTTAATACCACACAATAACCTGGATAAAACATGTGCACCCTCCCCATGGTTCACCAATTATTATATATATACTAATCAAGTCAGTGCAGGTTATTTCTGGTACTTTCCCCCTTAACATATAAATTGCAAATAAATAAATAAAAAAAACCAAGATGGTTGATATATAAGAGTTATCTCTCATTAGATGTAGATTTTCAAGATTCCAAGACCAGCGCTAAAATTACCCGCTGGAAGAGAAATAGAATAGGAAGTTCGTAAGAATCCCCATATCACATGTAAAAGTGTAACTTCATATTGATTTTTTTCCCGGCTTTATAGTTTTCGTCACAAAATTCATAAAAGATTTCTGAGTGTTAAAAACGCAACGGGGCCAAACCAGAATTCCAACCTGGGACCTTCGATGAATATGCTGTCGCTCAAACTGACTGGTCAACATTAGCACCCTGGCACGCATGCACTACATGTACAGTTATACCATATGAACAAAATTAAACATGAGTTTCTATGTGTACGATAACAACACGTGTAATTAGCTAGTGTTTTTCCTGACGGGAGCAGAGATCCACAAGACCTATTGATTATACATTTACAAATAACTCATATATAACGTATCTCCTCCAGGTACTGACAGGTTCCTCTTCCCTATCATTGATCATTCTTCGATTCTCTGCCTCTTTCGCCTTCCCTCCCTTCCTCATTTCATAACTTTCCCTTCCATTCATTTTCTCATTTCTCCTCTCCCGTTCCTGTTGATGATCCGTTGTTTAACTAACAAAAGTCAAGCATAAACCAACATTGTTTATTTACATCAAAACAACCTAAAATAGGTTCATATGTAGGTAATAAATTCATCTATTCATCTATTCATCTACAGGATGAACATATCCATACATATTAATGTGTACACATGTCTCTTCTCATTAATGATGTGTGCACAAATTTTGTCCATTCATGTTGTCGGGTTCTGTTCTTGTTCTCGTATTCTTGTCGTGTTTTCGTCTATTTGAATCCCTTTGTTGACGCCTTCTTACACAATGTTTTGTTAGGCTTAGCATTGCACTAAAGAGAATTTAAATTTTCCTTATCTAACATGTATATATTACTAGGAGAATTAGGTCATCTGTTGCAATAAATAACAAAAGTCAACATCGACAAACATTGCTAATTTTATTTTTTGTTAAGAAAAATGAAAAGATGATAATTATTTTTACATTCAAACAATCCAGAATTATTTTTACAAACGTAGGTAACAAAGTGATTTATCTACAAACTGTATAAATACATATATATCAGATGTATGAACATACTGTACTAATACTGTTGTGCTGACGTACCTATATCATGCAAAATGATGAAAATACTAATATCACGCACATATACTCAATCACACTGTTAAAACGGTATGTTTTCTCAAATTACAAATACACACACAGAGTTGTCTCCCTTCTCACATAGTTATAGTAGATGACCCTGTAAAAAAAAAGTTTAAAACCCCCCAGATATGCTCATATCTCAACTAATAAATTATTAGCGAGCCAAATGGGGATAAAAATAAAAACCACATATATATCTTGTATATACGAGAGGAAGAATGGTAGGAAATGGGAACAGTGCTTAGCCCGAATCAAAATGAAATTTATAGAAATTTAGAAATAAATATAATGACTGCCATTTGTATGGCAAATAAGCTTAAACCCGTACAATTCCCAGATCTCATTAACACCACTTAAAGCAAAATTATCTTTATGAAGAAAATATGATTCCGGAAGTACTTTTAGATTCCCGTAAGTAATTTAAATATTGTTTTCCCATATAAATAACACTGAATTTTGTAGATTGTGTGCGCTTATGAACCAATCATGGTCCTTTCTAAAGATAACAACCAAATTTGTAATCATAGTAACATAAACGCAACTTCACTTGGAATTTGATTGGTTCATTTAGGAACATAAAACACAATCGCCAATATACAAAATTACGTATATTATGGAATGAACATACAAATGTATCTGATTCACTTTAAACGAACATAGTACTCTGCTATCTTTTCGTAGCTCCACTTGATGAAAAGGACCTAATATTATTACCATCTGTATGATATTTAACGTATTCGAAACAAAATTTTGACCAGCAGAATTTTCGAATATATATGGAAATAATGAAAAATGAAAAAATCCTCATACAGTCATATTTCATACCTATATAATGATGATGGTCGTAAATGTATTTGACGTTTCACCAACTCTGATACAATGCATTTTATATTGTTTGTACTAAACTCATTCACCACTGAAGACACAATTAAACTCTTCCAATTCAAAGGTTTGCATTGTTCATATTGAAATTTCAGGATTGAACGAGTTAAAGGTACAATAATACTATGTAGGTATTGATAAAAAAGACATAAATTTCATTTTAAATTGTGAATTGTACGGTTGTTATCAAGACCGAATATGTAAACATTAAGATAACTATATGGAAGAAAACGAGAGGCATTTTCTTTTTTCATAGGGGCTTGGATGTACTACATTTCATTTAAGGCAATGCAGAATGACGCGAAAACTAAATCGTTAGAGATGTGCAACATTTTCTAAATACATCATTGATAACTTTCGACCGTTACAAATGAAATAAACAAATAAACCTTATCTGATGAGGGGGAGTTTTACCTAATGTATTATGTAACATAATGCTTTAGTTGAATTGTTAATAAGTAATTTTATACTATATGATGAAAGTAAAGCAAGTTTACCTCAAAATGTGATATTTACATTTTAGTAAAACGTAATAAGTTTAATCACTTTCTATGGTGTCAAAAGAACTAAGCACTTAACGGGACACATGTTACGTTTAATATGTAATTTTTGTCTTGACTGGTTTGTTTTTGCACTTTATAACCCGTTTAGGGTCGTGTTTGGGTTTGGAGAATGGAATAATTATTGTCGATTTTTATTCCTTTATTTTATTTGGAAGATTTTGTACTTGACCATTTGACAAAACAAAAATATTGTCAACATGATGTCTTGACTTTTACCACACAAGATTATTTAAAAAATGATCCTGATTCAACGCTGAAAGTAGTACAGGAATCAAAAGAAATGTCAAACTTGAAAACACAATACTTTCACTAAAAACGATTGAGCCCACAGTAATGCATTAATTTTTATACGGAGTCAATCCAATGTGAACATTTAGTTTTCGATATCAATGATTGTTATAACTTTCACATACTGATCAACTGCAAATATCGATTCAACTGTGGCGGCGAAATGTGACCAATTATGTAAATATCGACCAACCGTTGTGTCGAAAAACGACGTAAATAAACTTTAGTAGCAAATAATGACACTTCGGACTATTGTCGAAAGGTGTTCCGTTTTTTAAGTATCAAACTATGAAATAGAAAATATTTACACTGTGAAATGTACAAGTTCATAATTAAGTGATCTTTTAAGGAGTTAAATTCCAAATGGGGGAAACAGTGAAATATATATTTTAAAAAACTGCTGATGAACAAAACGTGTATTTAGACTTTAAATATAATCATCCGAGTTTATGAAATTTCATTTTGGATTTAATGAACGTAGATGACGCGTGCAACATATTAGTATCTTTCTATAAACAAATTCATATAAAAATTCCACACGAGATATAGTTACAGGGGTTACTGGTTATTTTAAGGATGCATGTGCCTTTTGAGGCCCGGATTTAGAGGATTGGTCTTTGATAACAATAAGGGCGTACTACTAGTAATATTGAATCCAGACGGGGGTGACGTGGTAGTTCTTTGGGGCAACACCCCATCCAACCCTACATTTGCGAAGGAAAAGCTCTAGTTTCACAACTTCTGGAAGCTTTGCCCTACACAGACCTCTCAAACGCAATTATGTTCCTGGACACAGACAGCTGTCGCCCTTTGGACCCCTTCATAAAACACTGGATGCACGCCTGTTAAGGATTACTTGGCCGTGTTTAGTACTGGGTAGTATGATCATACTTTGGTGATTTTAAGGATTCACGCGCTGTAGTAACTATAGTAACTTTAAGGACGTCAATGCTATATTCTATAATGGTTAATGTCACTTGCCTAAAAGAGCAATCTCTATCCAGAGTTGTCGTTCCTTTTCAATGATTAAAGGGAGTGCAAGGACCGTGACTCTGCGTGGAGATTACTTTCAACTTTAAAGATGCCGATGCCGTATTAAACACATGTCAATATGGCCTGCCTATGGTTACTTTAAGGATGCTTATACCTCAGAAAACACTGCTGGTTAGGACGATCAGAGTGCAATTTAACAATGATCAGTATAAATACACCAAGGACGCCCTATGGAAATCTTACTATCACGACCAATTTGAGAACATTAAGGAGTCGTGTGCTATAGGGAGACTATTAAAAAACGGACCACAGTAATATTAAGGATGCATATGCCGTGGTAAACCCTGGTTAGGACGATTCGTAAATGACTGTTTACAGTCAAGACAGCAGAAGAGTTTGCCGTCTTTCAACAGGAATTGCTGATTGATAAGGTTGCGTGCGCATACATGGCAACTGAAGCAGTGTGGGCATGCGTGCCAATGAAATTCTCCGTGAGAAAGCCCTGGGGAGTCGGCTGTAATGGTCTTGCCACAGGTCACACAAATCTACAAAGACAAGATATTTGATTGTAATTTTTTAACAAAGAATATTTTCCTGACGAGTGATAGTTTCTATTGAAATATCGACGGAGTTGTCAGTGAAATCAAACATGAGCTGAACCTGTTGGATAATAAAATCATATGTGAAATTAACACTTAACAAAATCCTACTAACGGCGAAATCAATCCATTTAACTCATATTTCGTTTGAATCCGAGTGTGTTTTTCTCGATAATATTTACTAAAGATATTATACCGAGATATCATAAATAATGTTAAAGCCAGTTTAGTTACATTATAACCATATCTCCAATAGGCAGTTCCTAGTCTTGTGGCAACTGCTGATGTGTAATGTAGTTAGCCATTCTTTATTTGCTGAGTTGCAAAGGTAAATAAAGAATCTTTTCTTCTGTGCATGGAAAGTGTGTGGAAAGGCTTCGGTATACAAGAAAACATTGATTGGCGTGCGAGACCCTATTGAGGACGATTTGACCATATCCACCCCATCAAAAACTACCATGAATGTTACAAAAATCCCTCTTATACAAAATTATTACATTCAAGTTCAAGTTCTTTATTAACTTTGAGTCTTGCGACTCATCAGTGTAACACATATACATGATATATATATATATATATATACTTTCTCATAACATTGACAAATATCGAAAATACTAATAAATACACAGACGAGACAAAACACTCGGAGAGCATAACTACTTATGTTAATAAAGCTCTTCTTGAATTTGCAGCTTTAATGTATTTGGCCAATTTTGCTAATTCATTTGTGTTTTGTCCGTTAAATAACTGAATTAATTTAAACATGCTCGGTTTTTTACAATAGTACTTTTTTAAAAATTTCTCACGTAAATCAGAATAACAGGGGCATTTAAGAATAAAATGAAATTCATCTTCGACATCATCTATATCACAAGCGGTACAGATTCTTAAAAGTCGCGGAATATTTTGATAACGACCTTTCTCTACATTTAAATTATGGGCTGAAAGCCGAATTTTTGTTATTTCTTTTAAGTAACCTTTCATAAACGATTTTCTTAAATAACCCTGTATACCAACTTCTTTGTTAAGACATGTATAAAAAAATCCTTTTGATGATGTTCTAATTTGTTCTATACAATCTTGTCTATAAATATCTAAAAGTCTTTCTTTAATTATAATCAAACAGCTATTATCAATGTTATCTGTTTGCCATATGTAACCTAGACCTATTCTATATAATTCATTCTTGATATTAATTACCCATTTGTCGTTACGCACTAACATGTCTTCATAACATGATTTTAAAATGCAATTATCAGTATTTATAATCTTTATCCAATACTTAAAAATTCTGAATTTCCTCAGCAGTGATAATGGATATCTACCAAGCTCTAAATAGACCATAGCATTACAAGTATTTTTACGCACACCGAGTAATTTTTTACAAAACATAATATGTATTTTTTCAACATCCGGGGCTTTATGAAAACCCCATATTTCTGAACCGTAACACAAAATACTGTTCAGGATCGCAACTACAACTCTAGTGTAGCAATATATATATATATATATAAGGGTCAAAATGTTATCTTCTATTCAGAAATAGGTTGTGAAACACCAAACTGTACACTGAACGTAGATCGCGTACATGTATTGTCATTTAAAGATAGAACTGGTTCATAGCGCTCCTCTATTTCATCTAGCGCATTTGCCTTTCACCAAGGCGGCCGGGGTTCGATTCCCCGATCGGATGTGGAAAGGTTGGGGTCATCTGTCCGAACACATGGGTTTTCTCCGGGTACTCCGGTTTCCTCCCACACTAAGACCCCCCACGCGCTAACATCCGGGCCAACAAGAGTGATTAATATAAGTTGAAATAACTTGATTCATAATTGTTGTAAAATAAATTAAGTTTATATTATTTTTATTTCATCTTGGATGGATACCTTACGAAATTGGTTCAGTAATCGATTAATACGAAAATGTTGTTTTGTTTGTTAGATTGTAATGTTTCGTCTCCATGACGATGGGTTATATAGTGTAGATTTCTCAATTCATATCGAGGTAACAATAGAAAAAAGGTTAAACCTCTTAAATGTTTCCTTGTCCTTGACACAATCTTACAAATGCATACACAGTGCTCTTTTCGGGAGAAACATCCCGGGAAAAGCGCTAGAACCCTGGGATAGATAAGGGTCTTATCTGTTTTGTTTTCTTGATGTTCTGTGACGGGTCGACAAGTGCGTGAACCAAAAACGCTATCGTTAAAAACTCGAATCATGCCAAAAATATGGCATAAATCCATGTCCATGATATTGTTCCAGAAGGTTGAAACTTACCTTGCTGTACAGTTTGTCGAAACATAGAATGCAGTAGGGGTTGCCGTTCTTGGCAATGTAGCGTTGGCCCGCTAGAGGCGCATCACAGTACCAACAGCAAAAGTGTTGCACGTGCCACGTCTGCTTCTCCGCCTGGGTATACTCCCGCGCAAAGATTATCTGCAAAAGTTGTCATATGGATTTATCAATTGTTTAGGGGATAGATTTCACTGTAATTTGATCTGAATGAATATGCGTGCGTATACAATTTTTTTATGAAGTAGCTGTCCAAGCATGCTCCTAATGTTCCGAATATCAATAGTGTACTGCTCTTGTGACACATCTAGGACCGACATTACTGTGAACGAGGAAAAAAGGGTTCATAGAGAATAATTTGAGATTCTTATGTACCGCTTTATCACAACCTAGTTCGTAGGTCGTCTCAGCGCGGTTCACAAATTATTATACGTGGTTATAGGGCCTTTGCGACCAGCCAATATCTTTCTCAACTCACTGCGGAGCATACAGCCGGTGCTGCCATTTCGGCGCTCACAGCAAGCATTCAACAATTCTAGCACTGCCCAACCACGTATACTCATTTACAGCTGAGTAGACTGTAACAAGCGGAGTCTTACTCAAAGATACAACACAGTGCAGTGCCGTGCCTCAAAAATATTCAAGAAAGATAGGGTGAATATGCATCAATTATCACCGAACCCATTAGATAGCAGTCATCGTCTGATATTATGACAATATAAAGAACATAAAAAATAATAAAATGGGCATAAATGAAAAAAAAATGCATTTATCAATGCCGGACAAAAGTTAATTAACTATTCTCACGATAATGCTGTATCCAGAAAGTGTCCGGTCACTGTGCTCTGAATACATACAGTTTGTATACAGAGCTCAGTAAATATTGCAGAGACTGTCTACAAAATTACTCCCACATTTGATAATTCTCACGCATTTGCAAACAGGCAATTTCACAGTTATTAACCTTCTGTTGACGTATTAATAATACACATATTTCTGTGTCAGAGAAATGAAAACGAGCTCATTTTTGTCTGTTCGAAATTACCACGAGTTTATATAACAAAGCCAGTAGTCTGTAATGTTCTCGCCGATTCGGTTACGACGACTATACCGCCGAGCGATCACAGGACCGTTGGTCTTTTCTGTCCTGTTTCATTTTATAAACACTGATGAAAGCCCACAGAGCTTTATTGGCAAAAAAGAAACGTTAATTGGACCATGTGTAACAGATGTTAAGATAATTTACTTGGCATGTCAAGCACGCGCGTTATAGCCATGTGAGGTTATGACGTCATAGGAAATTTACATAACGGATACAGACGCAACAGGAACGTGACATTATCACGTTTTTATCGGTAAAGGTTTAATATTTTATCATCTTACAGTTGAAAGGATAAAAACAGTGCCCTGCTCCTGTAGTAAGCTATACGCATGTGGAAAAAGTGAACTAGAAAATATTATGGAAATTCCATATGACACTCAAAACTGTACATTTCTAGTCTTATTGCAACTTTTGGAAGGCAATATTTTTAAAATTATCTTATAGAATACTAAATGTACTAGAAAGTTACGTATTCAGATATTGATGTGGGCCGACTCGGGTCTGTGTCGCAAATATAACCCTAAAAAATACTTGTTTCAGTGTAGTTTCGCTGAAGAGTGACTTTACGCTCTTTCTATTAAATATCGTCTTATCAAATGGGCGGATGTTGATGAAAAACTTCTGTTTTACTTCTTTTTAAATGGGAGGGGAACCAAAGAGCAATGGTTACATTTTAGAAAAGGTCAGAGTTCAAACTCTTACCTCGTCACAGGAGGAACAGCGTGGGTATATGGAATCAGCGTAGTGACGTTCACAGTAGATATCGTCACTTTTATGGAAATATATCATGTCGACTAGAAGCTCCGAGCACGTTGCGCACGTGAAACAACCCGGATGCCAGCACGTGCCAATGCCCATGCGGTCTGCCACGACAGCAATCCCGCCACTTTCTACCGCCTTCAAGCACCGATGACATTTCTATAGAATACAGAATAAAACAAAATGAGGATATATTCTGAACTTCCATATGATATTTTACTGAAAGGGCATTTGTAACATTACGAACACTTCATTTTAGGGTTCTATTTAAGATACTAATTGATAAGCATTTTAATACACAATTGATAACATAAATAGACACAAATAAAGCTTTTCGTAAATATTGTCATTGTCAACAACTAGTGTCGTCTGCCTGTAAAATACGTCGCCATGAACGAAAAAAAAACACCACGAATTATCCGAGCGCACTGCCCGCTGTTGAGTGTCGTGTATCATACACCGATCTATTTATATACAAATTCGATTTGCATACAAAACTATATATCTCGACTTAAATGCTGGTGAAAAGTTTGGTTTACTCAAGTTTGCAAACTTACTTGCTTTACAATTTATCGCATTATACAGAGCTACTAATTATACAGGTTAATTGATTATACATGGATACTTATTTTATAGGATAACGGATTATACAGGGATACTAATCATACAGGTTTACGGATTATACATGGATACTTATTACACAGGTTTACGGATTACACAGGGATACTAATTATACAGGTTTGCGGATTATACAGGGATACCAATTATATAATTTATGCATTATACAGGGATACTAATTACATAATTTATGCATTATACAGGGATACTAATTACAGGTTTACAGATTATACAGAGATACTTATTATATAGGTTTACGGATTATATAGGTTTTATAAATTTAAGAATTTGACAGCTCCGAAAAAGACGGACTAACGTGTATTCCGATTGCTGGAATGTATACAAGTATTTATTTTTCGGATTTGCGAAGTTTTATTGTATCAAATATTAATACAAACAGACAGCCTGAAGTTGCACCCAATATGACTTTTATAAGACTCTGGTTTATACTGGTGACCAGTTAATACAGGGTTAAGTTTACAGAGGTTATACTGCATATTTCCCTGTTTTAAGCGTTTTAAGTGCATTCCATCGTGTTTATGATCTTTTCCATATCTTGAACGTTATCTTATCTGTGACGTCAAAATAACTCGAGGTTGCTTTTTTTTTTTATTTAGGTATCAAAATTTGCAAGTTTTGCTCTAGAACTTTATTATATAAACCACTTTAATCTTACGAGTTTCCAACATAGGATTCAAAAGTCAAAGGTTAACCTTCTGGGGTTAAAATTAGGATCACCCAGTGCAGTGTGTTGGAAACTGCCTGCGGTTATCAAAGAGCATCTGACTGAGTAAACCCGTCCAGACACGAGATACACATCTACAGATAGTTATTTATAGTTTCTCCTCTCAGAAGGAAGGAGTTTAGCAATAAGGTACGGTGGCTGAATAAGCCATGCGTGAGCAATTCAACACACGGATCTGTGACGTCATACCGAGGGCGTGGTCAATTAAGCGTGTACAAGAGCTTGAGTCAATGCAAGTGTGTGTAGAGATGTAATCTGAAATGGTTTTGACAGAAGACAAAGATGGGCAAGTGTTGTGAGGTTTAAAACCGAGACGTTTATCGACTCAAAGTCTGGTCTGTATTGTACGTCTTGATATAAAACAAATAAATGTTTAGTGATTTTAAGTATTTTGTAATCATGTAATGAATTAATTAATATGCATACATAAATTAATTACAATACAACTCACGGGGCAATTTCATTGAGGATTTATATTGAGTTATATACCGAATGGTTGTTACCTAGGCCATGCGATTTCTATGGGTGGATACAGAAGAAGTCTACTATTTTAAAAGGTGTGCAAGGTTTCACCTTCAACGTGAACAGTCCTTTAACAAGCTATGTAACATTTCAATTAATCGCATAAATATTTTGACAGGTGAAGGTTTAATTAATAAAGCTAATTTTACGACTCCCTATTACGATGGGCTCATTCTAACTTCATTTTTTATTCTGGTTCTTTTCTTTTTAATTAAACTTCACCAGTTATATCTTTAAGAAAGTTCACCAATTGTTTGATAATGCAAAATTATCCGCGGCAGTTTATTTTCATAATATTTTAATACCGTGAAAATCAGAGTGATTCCATCTTTAAGGCAATGGGGTTTCGATACAGATGGCTCCTGTTACAAATGTGCTACACTACTTACGTGTTCTCCGGATTTGGGTAGGTCACGTATCTGCCCGATACCAGCTGATTTTAATCGCCTTTTGTTTGTAAACTTTTGGAATTTCTGCATTTCTGTTTCCGATAAGCTGTTACAGAATTTGTGATGGAGGTCATGAAGCGGAAGTTGTTTCTGGAGTTGTCTTCTCCTGAGTTGGGCAGCAAACATTTGTTTGTCTTTAGGAAGCATAGCGATGTATTTCTGTGACCTCTGGATCAGAAAGAAAAAAAATACAAATGAAAATCACCTATTTCCTTTCAAGATGTGAATGTAACGTTTAATTATATAGTTAAACATTAAAACAAATATAATTCATTAAAACACTTTATAAATTGTACAATATTTCTCAGTTGGTCAGCTGCTGAACACATTTCTGGTTTTAAAATAATCCACGTACCAGATTTTCCGATATAATCCTTGCAAGCACTATATCATTGTCCGGACCACATATCTGGGTCAAGGCCGCAGAATCGTCAATGTTAAGGCGCTCGAGTCGCTGCAACATATCTGATTGGTCGCCATGACGCGGTAACGAGTCAAACAGGAGGTTGATTGGCTGAGAATCCTTCTCTTCGGGAGGTTGAAGGTCATGATCTTCTCGGGAACATCGACAATGTTTGCAAACTTTCCTGCAATTCAACCAAGGCAAACACCCAGATGAACTTTTTGGACAAATTGTTTTGTTTAGAATCATATTTTACAATGCAGTATAAACCTATTAAAACCGACTGGAACGATTTAAATCAAAATAGAGGTAAAGACTTGAATTCGTCTTGTGGTCTATATTAGATGACGACATGTATTACTGCATCCTCATTGGCTGAATCATAATCACGTGGAGTCGGTGATTTGTGATATTGACCCGTTGTTTCTCTTTATGACGTCACTTCAATTGTAACGTCACAATGCTTTCCGCGAAAACATTTTTTTTTTCTTTTGACGACTTCATTACGTTCTATCTTGTTTCATTAAAAACACAACGTAATTTAATATCTAATATGACATTTAAATACTTTTATTTCGGTGAATGTGTGGTTAAATGGACCTGAACATTTATAATAATGGAGACAAAGCCGAGGTTAATATAACTTTTCAGGCTCATATAACCACGTATTCATCTCAACGAAAGTCCATAATTGAAAAAACAAATGATTTGCTGACCATTTAAGGGTTAGAGTAGACAATACATTGATTTATCGATGAACAGACAGATTACCGAAACGCACTCTTTACATCAACCGCGAAGTGTGATCATCCGATTACATCGACAGACCAGTTTACCATCTCGTTCAATTCTTATAATTTAATTAACTTATGATTTGTGCATGCTATGTGCGTATGGACATTGCGGTAGATACGAAAACACACTTTTGTTACATTATACACGGTAGAATAGATATAATCAACATATGTTTGTTTATTATGTTGGAATATACAACTCGGGATTTGAAAATATTGACATATGAATTCAGGCCAAAGAGACCTTCTCCAATTATTAACCCAACATTCTCACATCCTAGTAACAAATGTATATCTTCCACAATTATACATGCACGGACGTTCTTAAATGAATAAATATATAAATAACGAATAGGATTTCATAGTGACATATGTGTATGATAAACAAAAGCATTCTTGTTTCCAGATTTTAAAACAATTAGCTGTCTTAAATTCTACAGTGTTGACCTTGGTGCACTCGAAATGATGGATATACCGTAGATGCCATATTAAAAATGAGACAAAACATTACGAAAATTACGCATATGGCGTGCCACTTTATGACGTAAGGCTTGCCACACGTTGAGAAGATAAGGAGATACATTTCAAGGTGATTATTATAAACCTATTACCAGTTATCTAAGTTGTCCTTAACACATTGCTCAAAAGTGTTTAGCTTTTATACAAACATCTGCGCAATATCACTGCTCAGGCCTGGACGCATTGTCGACTTTTAAAACAAACCATAAAAAGTTCTCGCATTTAAAACACAATCGAATTGTGTGTGTCTGCAGGATAAGTTACGTAATTTACTCACGTGATATTTAGAATTTTAATATCACTCAGATTCAGAGTTTTGATGGTATTTTTTTTTATAAATAGGCAAAATGAAAAAACGACAAACAAAAGTTCCGCTAGGCCTGTATTACTCACCGTTTCCCTAATTGACCTCTGTAAATGTGAACATGTCATGTATTTTATTTCAGTCATCGAATAAAAGTAAACAACGATGTTGGATAGGAATGTTGATGCATGGAAAATGATAGCAAATAAGTAAGGTTGAAGGGAGGGGAAGAGGAAGGCGAGGTGGGGGAAGAGGGGGAAGGAGGAGGAGGAGGAGGATTAATATTGTTATTAAACATAAATATTAAAAGTAGTTGCGGCTAACTTGTTCAAAGCTGTCAGATAAAGTTGATTCACACTTCAAAGTTTGAAAAAGTAAACCTCTGCACATTCAAAAGAGGGACAGACTCATACTCGTAATATTTGTCAGCTTAAGCCATGAGAAACCTGGTTAAAATGAAACTGAGATTGTTCATGAAGCTAACAAATAATAATATTCAGGAACAAAATGGCACATAACTCTGTACGATAAGGCTTGTTATCTGTGACAAACAATTTTCTTTATTATTTACGAGTAAAGTTCCAAAATGTTTCATGTACTCTCTAAGAGTAACCTCAAACGTGTTTCTTTCCATGATAAGAAAAGGGAATTTCAAACACAGAATCTCACATAAATGGAGGCAGGATTAGGAACGAGTAACGAGCTATCGTATAACCTGTCTGGCTCAAAACGTCACACACTCATTCCCTTATGTCCATCTGACTCAAGTATTTGACCCCCAAAAGTACTATAACCGAAGTCACAAACTAATACAAGAGGCACAGAGGGTCTGTGTAGCTCAACTGGATTTTCAGCGATCACGACAAAAGATTATCATTAAAAGCAATCTTGTAAATATTCTCATTTGGAATCCGTCTTTAAACACCAAGAGGAACCATACCTCCATTTATATAACAGTTGGTTCGCTGGTCCCACGGATGCTTCATAGCAAATTTCTAGTGGTTAAAATATGAAAAATTCTTCACCAGGAGTAGACTTTTAAGACTTTTTAATGTCTAAGGTAACCCTTTTCTGAAGGAAAGCTACATTTTACCTTAACACAAAAATGGAGCTTTTCTTCGACGTGACAGGCAAGCACATTTTTGTGTAACATTCTTGTAGAAAGTAAGGTCAAAATTGCATGGTAATAACTGAGTTATACATGGACAGTATAGAGCAGACTGGTTATAAAAAAGAATCTCAATTAGTTTAACGTTATGACCCCTGGAAAAGTCCCATGGGACGAAGCTGGATCCGGGACACAGGTCTGATCCCGGTGGCATGGTTGTGCTTGTATAATATAGATATACGTTCATAAGGTAGTGTCTCAATTGTTTTTTTCTGTGATAACCCAACGACATTTGTGTCTTTAAAAGCAAAAGGTTAGAACTCCAGTCCAAATATCTATTGGCTTAATGTATTAATATTTATTTGTTAAAAACGATTTTAGCCTATTACGACTGGCCAACACCCAAATATAACCGGTTACCACGAAAAAATATACATGTATTAGAAAACTGTATTCTCTATCTTTTGTCTCAGATAGTTATGTAGTGTGAAAAAAAGACTAGATAAAGAAAATTGAAACGGATGCAAAACATATCGTATATGACTTCTACCAGCTCTGTTCGCGTGTTAACGTGAAAACGTAGCTATGTCGCAGCATGGCCCTTACCTCCAGTAATGGGTGTCGAGCCCCGGACACTTGTCGCCACATTTGAGACATCGTAACTTCCGCTGAGAATCTTGTGGTGTGTGTGGTTCCAAATCAGTCTAAAACAGAAAGGAATTGTTTAAATTGTTTCATCAAATTGAAAACAATCTCGCATAACTTGTCGTACTGGAAAGTGATTTCCTCCGTCTTATCCTCTAGCAGCAGGTTTATAACGCATTTCATGTACTAGTGCTTGGTCTTAAAACAACAATCCCGAGGTATTGCCCTCGTATTGTCTGTATTGTTTTGCAAGTATTGTCAGCTTTTTTTTAATTTGACTTTGGACATGGTTTAACCCTGACACACCCAGTGAGTATTTTAATAATTTCTTCTAACAAAATATCACAGGGAACGTGTTTTGCGTATTTCTGTTTAAATATCTATGTCGTCAAATTGCGCTTTAAGCTTTCCTTTTTAATGAATGCGGTAATATATTTTCGCTATGTTTATCGTGTTTTGAACAAGCGGTCTCATGTTGTATTTTTTGTTTTAGAAAGTACTTCAAATTATGTTAATTACCGATCTTAAAGACACACGCTTCATCCACTGTGGTTACAATAGTACACTCTTTAGTGTACAGTAATTTCTTGTTCCGCAACGCCCAAATTCCCGTGTTAAATGAAGTCTTCAAGATCGCGATGTTATTCAAAATCGTTTAACCAGCATGGATATTTTAAATTGCTATGACGTAAAATCAAGATAGAATCAGGGTTTGAGCTATTTTGTATGTCTGTAATATGGTGAGTAGTTGCAATAATCAAATTATCCCTTCTGGATCTTAACCGGAAGAGATCTTTCCATTGACAGTCAATATGAATATCGGTTAGGGGGCGTTTGTAAGCACGTACAGTAAGTTTGCTTCAAATCATCGTTAAGGCGATTGTCAGTGGTGACGCCTTTGTTTTTGTATACATATTAATTACAATGAAATATTTTGGCAAGTAGTGTATTCCAATCCACTGAAGAACGTCTTTGTGGGTGTTTTTGATGTAGACCGGAAGTTTCAGCTCAAGAACGCCAACCCTATGTCACTTGATTGGTAACATGTCACAAAACAGTCTCTGTTTACTTTACACGTGCGTGACAATCATAGAATATCGTCATGGTCACGTGATTCATTTGTTTTATCGTCAATTTAATAAAATCTTTATTTTGTTTTGTAGATTAAACAAAAAAAAGACATTGAAATGTTTGTTGTAAACATTTACTAAAGCATATCCAATCTTTTAATCTGAGCGCCACAGCAAATGTGTTGTGTATTTACGTCATTCTGACAGCAGTATTTTACACTAAAGCAACGGGTATTATGTCATCTGTACGTGGAGAATCCGTGAGAAAGTAAACAAGACCGGTTACACAGTCAGAGCGAGGACGATTGATGATGAGTACAACAGATGGGGAGGTGAAGCTGGGGAACTCTTAGAATATTAGGCCGAGGGCCAACTTGTTTCACCTGCTGCCCGGCGCACCCCGCTCCGGGTTACTCATTCGCTATGGCGGCACAGAGCCAAGTACAACCCATTTCACCTGGTCAGTGAAACCCATACCCCTCCCCCTACTTCCTACTTATCCGTCTTAATTAGTTTATCCCGATCCTGACATTCAAGGCTTCGTACTTGGGTCAGAGTCGGAGAAAACATTGGTTTCTCAATCATCGAAGCCAGACCGACGTCTTAATAATAAAACCAACGTGTGCGCCGTCCGTATATTTCTACAAATACAAGAATAACACATTGCGTCGGTGGTGTTCAGCGAGTCAATAGTTTAGTGTTATTGTGATCTAGTTACTGAATTAATCAGAAGAGTACACATTTATATATGAGACGGGATAGATAACAGACAACTATTTTTATTGATCAAATAAAAATAAATACGTTTATAACAGTAACATCATCTTCATAAAATGAAGAGTTCGTTTTCTTGGTAAAAATACACGCATCAATCCAACGGGTATGACCTGGTAGTCTTTCCTTAAATACTAAGTTTTCAAACATGGCCGACAATTGTCGTTAACCTCAAAATGGGCAGATTGTTATAAGTTATACATTTTGACGGAACTTTCAGTGGATTAACCTGTTACCATCGGACAATCATTAAATGACTTAACATAAATGTACTTCGTAACAGGTTATTAACACGTGTTAGTGATGTGTTTGTGAAACTAACTTGATAATTCAGTCGTCAAGTAGGTAGAGGGCGCCTGTGTCAACCGACCAAAAACGTTCATATTTTAAGAAGAAAAACAACCCATTTTCTATAATAGCAGTCATGTCACTAACAATATAAAATCAGGTATTATATAAATTACTACTCTGTATTCCTTTAATTTAGCTACTGAGCAGTGAAAAACGTGTTGATAACATCATACATTTGTTAACGTGTTATAAAAGGCCGCAGTTCAGCTGGAGAAAAAAAGGATTATTGATTGCAATTTTATTAATTTCTGCCGTTAAGTTTAACGACGTTCTCACATTAACGATATCCGCTCATGGAACAATATGAACATCAAAGGCTGTATAAACATGTGGTTAACGAATTACATTCTTCCTGAATTCCTCATTTCGTCGTGATTTAGTCACGTGACCAAGTATGTTACGTCACTTCCGCATTCATCAAACGAGCTATCAGGTAACGTGAAGGTATCAAGTTGAGATATTTTTTATACAAGCGGGGTTAGGTCACATATTGCAGTATCTGGCAACGGGATATACTCGTCTTTAAAACTGACTTAATTTGGGAATGTAGCTTGACATAAAAAATGTAAGAAGTATATGTGGGTAGTAGTTGCATGTATCCATGTTCTTCTACCAACGAAAGGATTGTCGATTGAACATGAGTTGGGGTATTTTATCGGCTATTTCGCAATTAACAGAACTGAAATATTTTTTCTCAGATAAACATAACACTATTAATAAATTTACAAGTTTGTTCTTAATTTCACTGCTTTATTGAAAATACTAAACTAATAAAACGCAACACGGTAAAGTATTAGATTCTCTCCATTCAGCCGTTCGTCCGTCCGACATACAGCTTTTTGTCCGGTACATCGTTCAAAACATATTTCTTTTAGAGTAAAAAATGTTGTTTAGGGCAATGTGCTTGCAACCTGAAAAGGTCAAAGGTCAAACTAAAGAATTGTGTGTTCACGTTTCACTGAAGACGATTCAATAGCAATAGGTCGATTTACGCAATAGGTCGATTTACGCAACAAAATTATTAAACAAAATAAACTATTTAAGAATTTCTTATGATCGACGAAAGAAAAATAGCTTCATTGTATTTCAATACTTGCAGCCATGTAAGCTAGGAAACAGCGAGGCACCTTGTCTGAATCCTAACCCTAACCCTAACCCTAACCCTAACCCTAACCCTTTTTTCATAAAAAGCGAAAATATTGAATGTTATGTACATAAATATGGCCATGAGCTTAATATTGAGAGGTGGGTTCTTTTTTGAGTGAAGTTATATAATGGGCCTTACAATTCATATGGGGAATGGAGACTTAGTTTAATTTGTAAATTGATTAACTTTTTTCCTTTAAGTTTTTAGTACAAAGCTTCAGAAAGACAACGTGCTAAATTTATACCAATGAAATTTTTTATGAAAATATACATTATCAGTGTACAAGCTACAAGGAAATTTTATGCGAAAATTGAAAATAAAAGCAAATACATTGATCAATAATACACAGTGCTAGCCACGTTCACAATTTCTTATACTGATCTGGGTTGGTCGATTAGTTTTCATAAATGTTTGCCCTCCAAATGGCTTCCATCCAATGAGGTTGTATATCATTAAACGCTTTCGGTTCTAAAACATCCCAAAACATATTGTATAATTTGATACAATGTTGCCTTGCCAAGTATAAACTAGTATAAGACCTTTTCATAACCCTTGCCAGCTGTCATGTTAGGCCAGACGAGTTAAGCGAGCACCGCTAGATCTTGTGAGCACCAAATGTCGAGCTTTGACGGCCTAAACAGCATCGATTTTGGCCTATGACCTTGGACTGGATGTGAACCAAAGGTCATGTCGAGAAGAGTTTACTGTGAAGCCAATTGGAACAAAGTATTGTCGTGAACGAATGGAGCAATGATTTTACGTAAAATTTCAATGTTATTTTATTTATATATTTATATTCAAATTCCACAGCTAATCATTAAAATCGACAAGACTGTGATATAAACTTTCATTATCTGTTGTGAAAGTAATAAACGTTCAATCAATAATTCCTGATTAGCAGTGTTCATAATAGAAGAGTTCCGAATATTTCTTTGACTGTAACCCTTTTAGCAAATCAACCAAGACTCCGAATACATTCCGAAATGTTTGTAAAGCAACTGTTGCGCTTGATGTAAAGTGGTTTCGAGGAGGGAAGATGGTTTTGTTGTGATTCATGATTCGGTCAGTGAACACACGTGTGTCATAGTTAATGGTGTTATTTCTGAGTAACCACTCCAATGTTTTGCGGTTACGGGATCAAAGATTGAAACACGAGGAACTATTTTACGAATACCTCATTACCGAACAAGACCGGTAACGAAACAGATAGAACCCTCACAGATGTGTCGTACAGCGCTAATTACAGTCAATGTGGTACTGATGTGGTAATTAATTGGGTGTATCGTTTGCTTAATGAATGTCACTACTTGATTTTGTTTTTATATATTTCTAACATGTGTGCATTAGTCAGGTTTAAGTATCACAAAGGCGGAGATTGAGTGAGAGCGATGTCTTTACTTACAAAACGTCCCATAGGATATCAGGAGTTTGAACGGAATGGTTTCGAGAAAACACGATGACAAACTCCAAATATCTGCGAAGAAACAACATTAGTTGGTAACCATATACGGTTAGGGTCGGTGTGAGAATATCCGTTCGATATTGCCCGACTCTTTGTAAAAACGCCCATACTTATCTAAAGAGATGGCAGCGCCGATGTCAAGAACGAAACCTGATAATGTTAACTTGTCTATACCCCGCACAGACCGTGTATTTCTATAGCTAATCCATCTGAGATTATCATGTTGATATCTCGGTAGCTTTCAGACACTAAACG